AGAATGGATAGTCGTGGGCGGACGCCGCACCAATGAACTCCCCCGCCGTGGTGACAATGGCCTCCATCCCACCCTCCCGTCCACTCAGTGCCAAGTCCTCCGTCCACGTTTGTAGGTCGGGCCTGGCATCAGGTAGTATGTAATGATTCCGCTTCCGCGGTCCCAATCCATTGCCCGCCATCTGAAAACTGACCCTCCAGGCCAGATCGTCTCGGTTGCCTCGTAGTGCCTCCTCCAATTCGCTATTCAGCTCACGCAGTCGTTCTCTCTTGATGGTCACCCTTGCTTGCTTGCATCGTCGCGTACACTGTCGCAGTCGTCGTATGCTGTCCAGGTCGCCGTCGAGCTTGTCCCTTGCTCTGGTGCGAGCCCGCAGCGCAGCTTCCCTTTCTCTCGCCATCTCGACGTACCACTGCGGCCGATGTCGACGTGTCGTGCTGTACCGAGCTTGGGCAACCGCGCGGATAGTCTTCACCACCTTCTCCCAGGGTGTCTCGAGCGTGTGTGCGCGCATCCAGGCATCCACCTCCAGGTACCCGTCCTCGTGTAGTTGCTTCGCCAGTGCCACCTCCACCTCCTCTCGGAACTGGAGTGCATCCTCCTCGTCATTCATCGCACGTCCGAGTGGTAGGTAGTCCCAGTATACGTCGTGGTTGGCAGGCGCCCTGTACGTGAGCTCATAGTCTACTTCCGCAACAATAATCATGTGATCCAGCACCGCCACACTAGGTATCGCACGTACCCGTCTCGTGAGGGAGTACGCGACAGCACAGCGCTTCACACGGCACATCCAAGGGGCGGAGATCACCATGTGATCAATATGGCTGCAGCTGCGGTGGCCGTAGTAAGTAGGGCCACAGGGATACCAGCTCGTAATCGCTGCCAGGTTGCTCTGCTCCATCCAGTCTCGGTATTGTGTACCCGCTTGATGCTCGATGCTGCGTCCGTGGGGCCCTAAACTCACACTGTCCACTGCTTGCTGTATGCCGTCGACACTCCGTATACCCAAGCCATCATTTAGATCCGTCGCCGCAATCATCGTGTATCGATTGGGGGTCCCCGCGGCGATCTGCTGTAACTGTTCAACCAGCTTCCTGACCGTCGCCTCATACTTCGGTATACTCTTGGCATCTGTGCACCTCGGGGGAAAATAGCTGACCACAAAAGTGAAGTCGTGCTGGCTTGATCTCACTCGTACAGCTCCCAGTCGTCCTTGCAACCCCTGTGGGACTGCCCAGAAGTGTACCAGCTGTGCCCTTCGAAATCGTCTCCGATTCAGCCAAATCTCCACTCCACAAGATTTGTTGACCATCGCTCCTCTTGGGCCCTGCCATCCAAACTTGATCATAATGAACTGTTCATGGAGGGACACGTCGTGGTACGTGGGTGCGTCTCGCTGTCTCTTCACCGTTGTGCCTGCAAGCAGCACCACATCTGCGAATCGTAGCTGTTGTGCCACCTCTAGTCTCCTGTCATAATCGCTCAAGGAGAGAGGGTTCCATTGCGCAATCTTCATGCGGGTGGTCGCACATCGCAGCACCGATGTGAGGCAGAAAATGAGGGCTGCGGAACTGGCCCTCATGCCCTGGGACCTCGGGCCAGGGCTGATGATGATGATGATGATGATGATGATGATGATGATGATGATGATGATGATGATGATGATGATGATGGTGTGTTCTCTCGTTCCGCTGATGCACTTGGGCGCACCGTAACACAGATGCTCGGCCTGCCTGGGACTTGCCTGCCCAGGGGCGAGCTCGCTAGCTTAGTCTTCTCGTGCCGAAGACGTCACTACAAGATGCATCTGCAATGCCCTCTCTGGACCACCGCGGCTTTCCGACCGCGCGGATCCTTCGATGTCGGCCGATCCCAGGCTGCTGGCGGCGCGCAGCCTTGAGCAGCCGTGCTGGTGTCGCCGCCGCGTCGACACAACATCGACTCAAACAACTAACTTCGCGCTCCACCCCTCGCTATCGCTCTGGCATCGCCCAGACCGCGAATCGCCACTAACTTCGCACGCTCGTGGTGGCCCTTAGATTAGCGTATACACACAGGAAGCGCACTGCTGAACGAGCCGTGCCGTGCCCCGGGGCATCCTCCCCTGCGCAGGCCCACGAAGCGTGGCAGCCAACGCGCCCTGCCCCTGCGGCCCACCGCACGCAAGCACACACAGACAAATTTGGCGTCGCGGCCCCACACGCAGCGACAGGACGTCCAACCGCACACACACACAACACTTATCACACAGCACACCCACCCGACGACCAGCACACACAGCATACAACACACAACACAAAATCCACATCACACCACACAACACACAACACACAACACACGACACACACCACACAGCCCCCCCCCAAAAAAACACACACACACACACTCACACATACCACACATTCACACACCCGTACACACGCACCCACACACAAACACACACACACACTCACACCCACAAACACACGCACACGCACACGCACACAACACACACAACACACACACACCACACACCACACACCACACACACACACCACACAACACAC